GGCCTGATCCTTACCTGCCTCTCCAGCGGCAGGGAGGGGAGAGCGAGCTGCTGGCGGGCTTAGTGGTCCCTGAGCTGCAGGGGGAGGCTGGTGCTTCTCTCCACGGTAGTGGCAGTGCCCCCCAGCTGGGGAACCACCCACCTGCAGGCACCTGGCCTGAGTGGTCCTGGGTTTACCGCAGCTGCGGAGGGAAGCACTGGGCCTCCGTGCAGCTCAGGCAGGCAGGCTCTGGGGAGGGAGAAAAAAAAAAAAAAAAAGATTAGGCTCACTGCTTTTCATTTATTTATTTATTTTCCTTCAGTGAAGCCTGCCTGCACAGGCTGCTGCCGGGCTGCCTGCGTGGGCTTCCTGTACAACTCCTGAGCTGCACGGGGCCCAGTGCTTCCCTCCGCGGCTGTAAGGTAGCAAACTAAAACACCTCAGACATGTTTTATTTTGCTGCGTCCCAAGGTCATTTGACACACTATAAACAGCTGTGCCATTAAAGCACATTATGCCACCAACATGTGTAAATAGGTGTACCATTAAAGTGGTGCAAAAGGGATTTAAGCTGCTTTAAAGGCCAATTTAGTGGCATATACAAATGTCCCACTAGCCTACATGGAGGGTATAGAACGGTGAGCAAACAGAATTTGCAGATAACCAAAGTTACTCTGGTTAGTCTATCTTTGTAAGAAGATTTTGAGGAAATTCTGAGGAAGTTAACCAGATTAGGTAAATGGGTAATACAGTGGCTATTTATGTGCCACGTCCATAAATATAGAGTAATGCAGTTTTAACAGAAAAAATAAGCTATTGTTACACCAAATGGCATTCTGAATTAACTGTTTCAACTCAGGAAAGAGGTGTTGGTATCAGTGGGTGCAAGATAATGCAGCCAGGCTCAGAAAAGCAGATCTTATGCTAATATTTATAAGGTATGCTATGGTGAATAAAATGGAGGCTATTATAATGCCTTTATTTGAATCAGGAGTGTGGCCTCATTTGGAATGCTCTGTGTAATACTGTCATGCCATATCAAAAAGGATATTATTGAGAAGGGATTCAGAGAAAGACTGTGAGACTGGTCAAGAAGATGGAAAAACAGTATGATGAAGAATGATGAAAATATTGGGATCGTTTACCTATACATGGTGATTGATAAGATGAGACAGTGAAAGTATGTAAAATAATAACTAGTATAGAAAAGGTAGAGTGGGAACATCTATGTTCCCTGTTTTACAACACAATAATAGGCAGACATGTATTTAAATTGAAAGATGACAAATTCAAAAACAGATTAAGGGAAATACTTTTTCACTCTAACATGTAAACAGGCTGGGGCTCATTGCTACAGGATGCAGTTGAGTTCAACAATTTAATGAGCTTCAAAGAGGGATTAGAAGTTTATACGGATAAGAGATGTCAAGAGTTAGAGATTACAAGCAGTTGGGAAGAACATAGTACCTCGTGCTTCTGGGCTCAAACCAGTTGGTAACTTTTAGAGATTAGAATGAAACCATTATGGAGATTATCCCACTTCTGCTTACTGTGGGTTTGTTTGCACCTTGCTTTGAAATACCTGGTCCTAGTCATTATCAGAGATGGTATACCGGAAGGGATAGACATAGGTCTGATCCATTATGCTAATTCCTAAATCTCTTGTTTCTTTTAAGATTCTTTTATGATATCTATTGTGTTGTCTTCAAATAGTGGTCTGTTTCTTGAATTGGTTTGTTGGACTTGGGATCAGAAGTGGCTGTATCTGAGAGGTGTTTCTTGTTATGGGAGCGGGCACCACTTCTGCCACAGCCCAGGCAGCAGCTCTCACCCAGGCTGACAGCTCAGCTTCCTGCATAGCCGTGGACCGGTTGCTTGGTCTCAGGTTGTGTGTGTGTGTGTGGGGGGGGGGGTGTGCGCGCGCATGTATCCAAGTGTCTTGTCCCCCCCTGGCCATGCAGGTTCAGGATGTGTGTGTGTATCCTATCAGCAGCATGTCCCTTTTACCCACCTTCCCCTCCCCCCACCCTTCTTTGCTGGGAACCAGCATCTGCCCTGGGGCTGGACAGGAGCTCTTGTCTGGGCTGGTGGTGCTGGGGAGCACTAACCAAGCTTACGAAGCCCATGGGATACTGGCAGACTGCCAGAAATTTGACCAGCCTACAAGAAGTTATTTAAAGCGCTATAGGTTGCTAAAATGCTGTAAAGTACAGCGCTTCAAATTTGATACTTCATTTAACAAGGGTGAATTTAAAGTGCTATACACATTTTTAAAGTGCTGTAAAGTTGTGTACTTCTGTTAAGTCATGGCAATAAAATACTTTAAATCAGTGGTTCCCAATCTCAGGTCGCGACCCAAATGTGGGTAGCGGGGGCAATGCTGGCGATGGTACGCACAAAGGACGAGCTGCGCTGTATGCCAGGAGCTCCCCCACCCTTGGGCCGCCACTGCACTCTGCTCCCAGCAGTGGGTCGTGGCAAAAAAAGGTTGGGAACCACTTCTTTAGATGGTGAAAAAAGCAATTTATGTACACACGTTGTAACTTCCTGTTGAGTATTCCTGAATATGTTCTCCCTTAACCAATACTATACTGAGCATGAGGATATGGAAGATAACATACCTATTATTTCTCATATTTTGTTTTGTTAATATGTTAGTTACAAAGGACATTCTGCATATGTAATACATTATTTCATAACCACATCTGTTTGAATACAAAGTAGTGGATCTGATTTTCCTGTCACTTAAACTTGTTTTACACCTGGTGTGACACCATTTATTTCAGTCATTGATTTATTCCTGAGTTACATCTGGGTGAGAAGGATCAGGCCCAGTATCCTTTTTATTTCCTTAAGCATTTGCTATAATGTTATTTCATATCTCACTGGTTAACGTATTTTACTTCACACTGGGAGCATCTATATGTGGTGATTTAAGGTGCCTTAGCCATTTTTTAAGGCTCGTTAAGGGCATGGATCTACACGTGTGCACCCTTAATGTGCCTTAAAAATGCTGTTTTTAGGCTAATTGTGCCTAAATTTGATACCTGCATAAAGCAAATATCACATTTAGGAGCAATTAGTTAAGGTGCCTTAATGCTATGTGACTAAGCAGGCTGGAGCCTAGCCCACAGGGCCCCATGCTGTCACTGGGTGCCGTCAAGAAGACGCGGGTGCTGTTCTGCAAGGCACAGATGCTGGAGTGGCGGTTCCAGCAGCAGCGATCCATAGATTCATAGACATTAGGGCTGTTTGGGACCTCGGAAGATCACTGAGTCCAGCCCCTTGCCTCAGGGGCAAGAAGTCAGCAGGGATCATGGGATCCCAGCAAGATAAACATCCAAATGTTGCTTGAAGGTGTTCAAAGTAGGTGCTTGAACCACCTCTGGCGGCAGTCTTTTCCAAATCTTGGGGGCTCAGACAGTAAAGAAGTTCTTCTTTATGTCCAGCCTGAAACGGTCATGGAGGAGTTTGTGACTGTTCGACCTTGTCATCCCTTGGGGTGCTCTGGTGAACAGATGTTCCCCCAGGTCCTGGTGAGTGTGTGTAAGTTGGCAGAGGGAGCAGGAGGTGGCAAGGGCACCTGTCAAAGCACAAGGAATGCAGCTGTGCAGGGGCAGGATACCTTGCTACCCACCGATTCAGGCACCCTTAGAAGCCCGCACTGAGGCTGTACAAAATGAGCTTCTCTCCCACCCATAGTATCTGGCAGGGAGGCTGGGCAAGCACTTGCCTAGGACGGAGGTGGGTGGAACAGGGAAAGTGGTGCTGGGGGCAGACGTAGTCCCAACTTGCCTGCTGTCTCAGCCCCAGTGTGGGCTTCTAAGGGCACCTGAATCCAGGGTGGAGAGTGAGGCATCTTACCCCTGCTGGGCTGTATTGCCCAGCCAGCAAACCTGCCTTGAGAGAGAGGTATGGGGGAGCCGCTAGCAAAGGCTGTACCCATGCTGTGCTGCCCCTTTCCCCTTCAGGTAGTCACAGCGGGCCTTTCCCTTTTGCTTTGACAGGAGCCCTCATGTCTCCTGCTCCCTCTGCCAACTTACCATCTACCGACAGGGACCACTGCTGCCAGAACTGCCACTCTAGCTCCAGTGTCTGCGCCTTGCAGAACAGCACCCGCCGTGTCCTCTTCTTGGTGGTGCCTGGTGGCAGTGTGGGGCCCTGCAGGCTCAGCTCCTGTCTGCTGTCATCTGATGCTGGGGAGGCAGGAACATGAGGGGGTTAGAACTGGGGCTGGGGCCAGGCTGACTGTACCCAGAGGGAGCGGAGGCTTCTGCCCCCTCAGCCAGTGCTGGCTGTACTGCCTGGCTATGCTGCCGCAGGCTTCCAGGGGGTGTTCAGAGTGCTTACCAGGGTAGGCTGCCCAGCGAGGTGTGTTAAGGTGCATTAAGTTGAGGTGCACTTAAATTCACATGTAGACACGCCCACAGTGCAAAAACCTTATCCTTAGAATAATTTTATTTCTGACTTTTCTTTTTTTGCATATTGTATTGGGCTTGAACAACAAAGTACTCATGCAGGGTAGGGGAAGATCTTGCAAATGGACCTTTGTGGGTGTTTGAATGGTTTACTGTGGACATGCAACCCAGGATGAATAAACAGAAAGCAGTCTGTATCTTCCTTACTTCCTTTAATATGAGCCTCTATAAGGATCTGCTTTGCATTATGTCAGTGCTGTTTGAGGATGCCAGTTCAGAACTTCTTGAATGCAGCCTTCTGCCTCATAATTCATAGCATTACCACTTGTGTTGCTAGACCAACATGAGTACATATTTTAATTATCTGTGTATAATTATTAAAAGGGTTGACAAGTAGATATTGTTTGCTGCTTCAGTAGCACAAAGGCTCAATATCATTGAGTAGATAAATATAACATTACGTTTATATGTGTCTATAGCGTATTTTTCACAGTTCCTTCATTGTCAGTGGTACTAGTAATTAAAGTGAGCCTGTATTAACTATGAATTTATTTTTTTGTTTGAAATGTGATTAATGTAGTGTTATTTTGTGTTCTCTTGTAGACGTCGCTGCATTGGCATGTGGCCGTGAGTTCCTGGTTAATTCCAGTCGGGAGCTGTTGGACACAATGATACAACTTCTGGGAGATATGAAGCCAGGATTTTGTACCAAACTTAAAGTGTATGGTGGCTACATAGTTTAAAAATGAAACTGGTTAACTTGCAATATAGTCTGCCATCACTACAGCTACTTTCCTAATGGCCTATTATTTTTTAGCTGGAGCAGAACTTCATTGGTTGGAATTAATAATCACAGGAGGCATTCTTTATAGCTATACCACATTGGACTACAAAGCTGGGGAGTGTATATTTTCCATTAGATAAGGTTGCATGCACATGAAGGGCAGGTGGACATATATGCTAGGCTGAAGAGAGGATTGGATAATGACTGTTTTGTGGTATGGTAGTTAGAGTTGCAAGTTTAAATATCGTTTGTGTGTGGGGGCCTAGAACCTGGGTCTCCCCTTTCTGGGGTGACTGCCCTAGCCATTGGGCTGTTGGCTAGAAGATAGGAATCCTAGCTCCTACCCACTTCGTGTTTTGCCAAGAATTTCAAGACTCATGCTCAAATACACACATACTGAGCTGTGCCCGAGTGCAACCAACTGTGTATGGTCAGTAGCCAGGTGCATCCTACAGCACATGGAGTACAAAATGTGGCTAACTGCCAGAATTGTCAATTATGCAGTGAAGTAATTGCCATGTGGGTGTGTAAATTGAAATAGGATTCTGCTCCAAGTCTCTTGCAAGATCTATCAAGGACCATTGTCTTTAATGCAGAGGTGTGGCTTATTCCTGCATTGGCAAAAGTTTGGGTTGCTAGGATGCTGGTATTTAAGGGTGGGTGAAGTTTTAAAGCAGGAAGAAGCGCTGAAAGAAACTAAATGAAAATAAATCTGTTTAAAGTATCATCTTTCCTTTAATGAAATAAGTTGGACTTTCTAGTAAATGAAGACATGAAATGCATTTTAATCTCTTCGGAAATTTCCTCAGTTATTACAGTGTCACCTAAGTGAGTTGTACCTAGCAGGGGAAAAATCCATCTCATCTTAGTTATCTGTCTTTGGATACACTGGTGATCTAGGGACCATATAAGTAGGTACAGGCATCCCGCATCTTACGCGAGGGTTACGTTCGAAAGGCAGCACGTAAAGGCGAAAATCGCATATAGTGAAATCGCACATTACTGTGCCAGCGGTGACTGCCTCTGCCTCCAAAATCTCCCGCCGCCGCCGCAGATCCACACTTAGAGCTGTGTGGCTGGCGGCAGTGGCGCAGTGCAGGGTGGTGGTGGGGATGGCTGCATGCCACCTGGCCACCTGGCATGGCTCCATGGCGGTGGTGGGAGGTTTTGGAGGCAGAGGCAGTCACCGCTGGCACAGTAATGTGCGATTTCACTATATGCGATTTTCGCCTTTACGTGCTGCCTTTCGAACGTACCCCTCGCGTAAGATGCGGGATGCCTGTAAAATATATGGATGTGCTGATTCTTTGATTCATGTATGAAGGAATTCTTTTTAGTAGGCATTAGAATTTGTTGAATGTTGATCTGTGAAAAAACATGAACATTGAATGATCATGTCATTAATGATTTATCATTCATACATCATACATACATGTCATTGCAGGTTACCTCCATCTGATTTGTCTGTCATAGACTCTCTTTCCCAACCTGAGAGTTGAAGGTCAGCATTCAATCTGGAATAGCTAAATTGTGTGGTATTTAGTAGGATCTTACTAAGGAAAGTTTGTGGAGAAAAGCTTTGAAAATACAATGCTGAAAGTCCGCAATGCAAATGAAAGAACTCAAAGGGTTTTTCTTCCCAAGTCATGTAACTTTTAAGCCAGTATGGTTTTTTGAGCCCTGACTCATTTTTTTTAATGCTTGGAATTGACAGTAATTAGGCAGTGGTTGAGGAGCTTGTTGTTGTTGTTGTTGTTTTTGGAAAGACATCTAAAACAAAAAAAATGTTATACAGGTTTCCCTTGCCAACCACGGTTTTGCCAACCACGATTTTGAGTATCCACACTTAATATTCTATATACCATTTGGTCTACCATGGTATGCAGTTTTACGTAACCATGGTTTTCTGTGGCCGTGCATCAGCCCGCCCCTGCCATTTTTCACCTGCTTTTGTCTTGCCAACCACGGTTTTGCCAACTATGGGAACTTTCAGGAACCTAACCCCAGCGGTTGGTGAGGGAAACCTGTTTTTCAGATTCAACTGGAGCTGATAGTCAACTTTACCAGACAGCTTCTTCTATGATGATGTAATCTTTATCCACTCCACAACAGTCATAGGAAAACAGGTACAAATCTAGCCCATAGACCAACCACAGACTCTGCATGGGACATTTTGTTTGAATATTTATTTATAAAGTCTATTAAACTATTAGCAAGAGAGGCTGCACAAACTCTCTGGTGGTTTAGAAATTTTAGCCACAAATTAATTTTATTGTATCGCTGCAATACATTTTACAAATCCTTACACAGTGTAATGATCATCTTTGATCATATCCATGTTTGGCTTTCAACAAAGCCCTCACTTTAAATTTTATGTTAGAGCAGATACCACAGAGAAGAATCCTGCACAGTCCTGGCTTAATCATCTTAGTGAAAGATAATGGGACTGATACTTGTGCTAGTTTGCTGGTATGATGGGGATACTAATTAAAGATTAATCACATGCCTATTAGTATCTTAGAAAAACATTCTCTCCCATTTGAACTTCTATCTTGCTGGGTGTGGGATAAGTGGAGCATGTCTGGTGGCCAAAATTGCAAGGCCCGTATGGCAAGGTAGCTTTGCCAGGCTATCATGAGCGACTGGTGCCTCCTGAATCTGGCGGGGCACCCACAGAAGCTGCCGACGGCAGTGGCCCTGTCAGGGTGGGCACCAGCCCTACTGACAGCATCAGTGTCAGCTGTCGGGGGGGCCCCACCAGGGGGGCACGTGGACCCCCGTGCACCCCCTACCAGTCGCCTATGTAGGCTATTATATGATTTTTAGAGATCAAAACAATTAAAAGTTCTAGAGGTGAATTGTGCCTCCTGACTTAGAAATGAGATGCCATATATTTCTCTGAGCAAAGGACATAAGCGACGCATAGTGGGGGAATGTGCCCCCCTTGAAATTGGCCCTCGTCGGCCAGGGAGTGGGGGTGTCGAAAGAAGCCGGTGGCTGATGTCCCCCGTGTGATCATGGGGGTGCCCAAAGAAGCACTGCCGGCACTTCCAGTTGTGCTGCTGGCACCTCTGGTTTTGCCGGAAGTTCCCCAGTGGCGTCAGTGATCGGCTGCTGGGGGACTACGCCCCGAGTCGGCTATTGGTCACTGGTGCCCCCCAGAGCCAGGAGGCACCAGTCGCCCATGGCAAAGGATATGCTTATTTCAAACATTTGGTTTTTCCACTGGTTGCTTTATAAAAAGAGTAGCTAACTCAGACTGTTGTGCATTTTTTTTTGTCACTTGGACAAATATCAAAATAGAGTATGTGGGGGGGAATTTAATATTGGGATGGAAGGGAAAGACAAAACAATAGGTTAAGGTTACAGTAGTAGTGTAGTTCCCCCAAGTGGATGGTCACTCAGGCCATTTAAACGCATGCTCTGGGAGGTGGGGGGAGGGTGTGTGCTTTAATTAGAGCAACTCTTGGAGCTGTTCTAATTAAAGTGCCTGGAGCATCTCATGTATCAGCATCCCCGTGCTGAAAAATGGCGGCGAGGGCACTTTAAGTAAAGCTCTCCTGAGACACTGGAGTCTGCTGGAGTGTGATAATTACCATGCTCCAACAGACTGTTAATTGAGTCTGCTCCAACGCACCTTAATTACAGTGCATCGGAGCAGCCTCACTGCTTGTGTATAGCGCCCTAGGTGTCAATGTTTGGGTACTCCCACATGAGATTGCAGCACTCTTGCCCTGACATCTGTAGCCCAGTTGCTGAGCACAGTATCTGTATTTGCTTTTCCGTCACAGAAATAGGACTTTGCCATCCCACCTACTATAAGCCTCTAGGATCTATGCTCACTCACCAAGATTCCTCAGTAACTGAAACATACTTGCCTCAGGAACCCAGGCTTGTGGGCACTTGGAGTTTTGTTTCACCTCCTCAGTACTATGTGCTAGTGGCAGCAGATGGACACACAAGCTTTGTATAGGATTCTGAAAACAAATCACTCTTTGCTTTAGCTAGCACAAGAACCCTACCAGTGTAAATAAAACTATGTAATACCTGCATGTATTTCCCTGCCGCTGTTTCTTATTGCTTTTTGAGCTTAGATCCTGTTTCTCTAGGGTGTCCAGATCCAGGATCCCTTCCTGCACATGGCTTTTCCTACAAATCATGAAGTCTTTCTTCTCCTGTAGCCTTTTTCTTTCTCCCTTGTCTGGTCTCTCAGTTAGAAGGGGACTCCTCTCCATTTTATTGCATAAGCTTGCTCATCCTGCCCAGGTTTCCTTTGTCCTGGAGTATTTCTAAAGTGTCTCCTCCCCACTTCCTCCCCCCAAATCTCTGAGGTCCTCTGGTTTTTAAGACCTAGCAGTAACCTCTTTATTCTCCTGTTTGGAGATTTTCCACTCTCCAAACCTCACCTACCTGCACAATTCTGTGGCCCAAGGATTTGTGTAGGATACAGTTATTCTTTTGTTCAACCTGATAAGATCTATTCAGATGCATAATAGTCTTTAACCATCAACCTTTTCAAAGATAGACATCTTGGTGTCACTCCTGGATTCTCAGCCCAAAGACTGAGAGGCAGTACAGAGTAAAAAACAGTCATAAGAATTCATAGAACATCCTGAAATTAATTAGTTGTATGTAGAGTCCCTGGTTTGTTACATTAAGTGTATTTAAAATATATCTTATGGATCTTCATATAGGAACTTTGGGAATGTGATGTATATCTGTGGAATTACACTTAAAGGACACTATCCACATGAAGTCTAGGCAGTTTTTTAAAATGTTCAGTTATGTAGTCTCAAGAAATGACATTTATCTGTTGGTTAACTTTTGTGGGTTTCCAGTTGCATTTTATTCTTTCTGTTAATGTTTTTTTCTTGTTGTGCAAAAGACCAACAAATGGGTTATAGCGAACTGTAGACAAAGTGCAGTCAAATCCACAG